CAAATACGTTTTGATCCCTCGACCTTTGGACAATTCGCTCGAGCGGTCGTTTACGTCTTCGTTTGCTGAGAATCAACTTAATCTCGCTCGTGGTTAAACGGGACCGTTTGCGCGAAAAAAAATTTGGTAGGTTTACAAAGGAAATAAAAACAATTGGACAAATTACGCGGCTGTATACGGAATGGCGGCGCGTTCACTTTGTGATAAAATATCCTGAAAGAAATACACAACCTCGTCGCTTTAGAGTAGGTCCTTTATTGGCCCAATATTCGCGGCCACCGGCACTGAATTCATCGGGCACTGGCTTTTGTTCTTTTTATTCCCAATAACTCGAACCGGGTGCAACATGGTTCGTGTAATAGGAAACGTGTAACGCACTTACATTCAACGGTAGATATTACTGCGCAGTTGCTGTTTTACGAGAACGCGACAAATTATCCAAATAATCGTACAAAAAAAACAGACAGGCAGAACGAACCGATAAAAATCGTGATTTGCGAAGTTGTAAGATTGGAAATTTTCAGGAAGCTTTAACTTTAAAATTAGACTTATTTCTTTCTCTCTATTATGATTAATTTTATTTAGAGCAACAATCGGAGGAAAAGTGATTATCGCTTATTGTTAGTCGAGACTAAAAAAAATTATGTTTCAACGGATATTTAAACAAATACAGAAATTAATGAAGAATTGCGATATTAAAGCGTTACAACATTTTTAATAACTTGATAACAGTACAGTGATATGGACAGAATGGCTGCGACACTTTTTTTTAAATGAATTTAGGAAAATGCATGTAGAGTCAGGGTTACGTTCCAAAATCTTCTTCTCCAAGAAATATTTTACTCGATGGCCTATCCGACCTATTTCTCGAGTAAAATTTTCCTCATAGAAAATGTTTTAAAATATTAAACCTAAATCTAAATGCGCGTTCCTAAAATCATTTAAAAGAAAAAGTGTTGCAACCATTCTGTCCATCACTGTACACCATCGTGAAAAGCGATAATTAGTTAATAGATACAAATCGTCAAGATTTGCAATGATTACCGATCGCATTTTTAAAGGAATGATAGCGACATCAAGATCATTTTTTAATATCTTTCGCAATTATCCGAAAGTTCTTTATCAAATTTCAGTCTTTCCGTTTGAAAACCACATTTTCCTTTTTTTCTTATGTAAAACGATATATCCTTTGTTATCGCTATGGATCAATAAGTCCGTGGACTGAAATCTGGAGCGAGCAGCCGATGAGACCGCGATGTGATCCTTACAGAATTTAATACGCGCGAATTGCGCCAGCTCTCAGCTCGGATAATACGCGGCTCGCTCGCGGGAGCGTGGGTGCGCGCCGGATTTTGGGATAAATATATTTACGGAAGCGGAGAACGCGCGCGAAAGAGGAACGCGAAGGGGGATGGACAGAGCGCGGGGGTTGCCGGCGCGGTCGGACGCCGCCACCGCGCCCCTTTCGTGTTACGAGGCCGAGTATCCGTAGCTCCGGCTGATTTACATTTACGATCACTCATCTCTGCCCCGACCTGGGCTCGTACTACAGCTTATTAACTCATTCGTCTCGGTCATGAATAATTTACCGTCTTGACACACCATTGGGTACCGCCCAGTGTTGTTCGCGCGCGATGGCCGTTTCTGTCCGGATGAGAGCTAACCCGGCTCTCTCTCTCTCTGTGAAAAAGGGGTGGTTTAGAATTATATACTTGAGCGTTACGGTGGCATATAATAGGAACGGCCGACGAACATTTCGAACAGAAGCGAACGAACGAACGAGAATTAAGTAAAAATATAAAGCAGTTCATATATTATTTTAAAAACGAGTGTAGAGATAAAACTGGACTGTCTTAAGCAATTGTGGATGATGAAATATTTTAACAAGTATAATTGTTTTAAATTACACATGTAATCTGTAAAGCAGTAAAACAAAATAATATTGAGGTAAACGATTCCACAAAAGTGCAGAAACAAGAGACCATTAATCTTTCAATATTACATATACATTTTCTTTTGATGACTAATAGTTTTTAAAAATATATACATAAACATACGTGTATACGTATGTATAAATCCATATTTGTATAATATTTAAAACTTTTTTAATATTCTGAACGTAGAATTTATACTAACGATGTCTTAATAAATAAAATTAAGAATTATTGTTCAATCATAATAATTGTTTTTGCTGCGGTAAATACATATAAGAAAATTGCATATTGATTACTAGCGCACGATAAAGAAGAATACGCATTTATCGATAGTGTGGTTAAGTAGATGTGGTACGTAGTTATTCTAAAGCCTATCACACAATGCCAGGCAACAGGCAATAGGAACAGGGAATAGAATTTTTGACGCGTTGGATTCGTTGAAAATTTTCTTCCAACCAATCCAACGCGTCAGAAATTCTATTCCCTGTTCCTGTTGCCTGTTGCCTGACATTGTGTGATAATAGGCTTAAAGCGTAGTCTACAATGAACGCAAAACGCAAGACGCTGGGCCGCAAGCAAGAAATCGACCAATCACAGTCAAGTATGAGAAGAACGATCGACTGTGATTGGTCGATTTCTTGTTTGCGGCCTAGCGTCTTGCGTTTTGCGTTCATTGTAGACGACGCTTAAAGGCCTTCACACATAAAATTCCGTAAGGACGTAAAACGTAAGCATAAGAAAATCGACCAATCACAGTCGAGAACGTAAGGCAATAACGCAAGCAGCAGCAAATCCAATCTGTTGATTTTCTTACGCTTACGTTTTACGTCCTTACGGAATTTTATGTGTGAAGGCCTTTAAGCCTATCACACAATACCAGGCAACAGGCAATAGGAATAGGGAATAGAATTTTTGACGCGTTGGATTCGTCGGAAATTTTCGTTCAACCAATCCAACACGTCAGAAATTCTATTCCCTGTTCCTATTGCCTGGTGCCTGGCATTGTGTGATAGGCTTTACATTCACTTGTGGCATGGATGCTAACGTTGAAATCGGCCTTAACATGGAAGAAAGATAAGAGCGATAAGGGCCATCTCACACAAAATTGCATAGTTGCATATGCATAGCACAAGACCGTCCGGACCAATGAGCATGTTATGTAAATCAATATGGCGACTCAGTGCTCGATGTTCATTGGTTTAAACGGCTTTCATGCTATGCACATGCAGCTATGCAATTTTGTGTGCGATGGCCCTAAAGCGGGGAGCACACACTTTTGCATAACTGCATAAGCATATGCATAACGAATTTGATTGGTCTATAAGCAAACGCTTAAGGAAATGGACCATCTCAGGGTAC